CTGCTCCTTGTCGTTTCTATCTCTGACTTTGTCCTCTACAAGAGTTTCTGTTTTTTTTGCTGGTTCTTCAAATGTTCAATAAAAACATGTATGATAATTCATAACGAAGAAAGCTTTGTAAGTATCCCCACTAGTGAAGACTGTCATTTCCACAACACTGGCCCCCTCCCGCCGGAGGTTCGCAGCGCTGTTGAAAAGGTTCAGGAGGTCCCTGTATTAAGCACGTAAACCTGTGACACAAAAATCACAAAACTCAGACCACCACAGACTGTTTTCCTTCGTGGTGATGAAGGAAAATGCTGGGCTGGCATGAAAAAGGGCATTTATTCCCTTCAAGAACCTGCAGTTCAAAAAAGCACCCCGCCAACAGCCAAACCCATCTGTTCTCTGATTGGATAGTTAAATTTGTGATTGACATGACATTGGCCAATCAGATGAAAGGAAGAAAAGTAGGGTCAAAATTCATACTTGAAACTTGAGTGCAGACTTTCTCACGTATTTTTGGCTAAGTCCACACAAATCTTTTTTTCAAACACACAAATTCTTTTTACACATACAAATCCTGATTTACAAGTACAAAACTGATTTACACGTACAAAATATTTATGACCGCAATTTGAACCCATACTGTTCGCTGATGACATTTTTGGTAAATATCTGAGCGCACGCAGAGATTTTCATTACAGAGTTGTGTCTGTTTTTAATACAGTGTTGCCCGGGGGCCGAGCGAGCACAGCGAGTCGGTGTTGGTTTGGCCTTACATAGATATTATTAAACCGTTTAACGATGAACTCATGAGAGTGGGAATTTCCTGTTACTAGCAAACTTTTACTTTAGCTCTGCTGTTTTCCATTCTACTTTGCTGGAGTCTTCCTCTTAACTCTAGCATGATCACACAATTTTAAACCTATGCCAAGGTGCAACATGCTTTCAGCTGCATCTCATTGGCTTTATTAGCTGATAAAGTATGAAGCACTTGGTCTTTCTTGCTTTACTCTATTTAGTACTTGAATAAGCACTCAAATCTGATCTTGTACAAAGACTTGTACAAAACGTTTTAGCGAATCATCCAGTTATAACCTTCTGAAAAATATTCAGTAGCATCTCAAGGTTTCCATCTGGGAATGGTATTTGCTCTTTTGTGTCCTGTATCCTCCGCTAATCTCTTAAAACCTCTCGATATAAAGATGCAGGAGTAGGGTGCCACGCTCAGTCTCACCTGCCAGAGGCTGCAGAAAAATCTCTCCCATCGGGTGAATAAATGAAATTCCATTCTGACCATCAGCTGTGATGTCATCTGTCAAAGCAGCATCGCCTCCTGTCAAAAACAAACCAACAAAAATAATAGTAATAACTTTAACTCTTGTCTAAACGACAGTTTTCTTTTGATGTAAAATATGATTATCAAGGCAAAAAAATACCTTAATCCTAACTCAAATCTAGTTCTTAACACTGCTTGCAACAGTGGAAATTGTACATGAATGTTACACTAAAAATGAAGAACAGATTGCTGGCACAGAAGTAATGAATCAAGCTGAGCAGTATTTTCAGCAGATCGCAGTCAAAATAACCCACAATCAGCTGATACTCCTCTATGCATTCAGTCATCAAACCTCACAAAGAGGTTCGATGACTGAATGCATTTGCTTTAGCCTTCCAACAGTTTTTACTCTCTTGCATGTCCCTCTGAAACCCTGTCAGCTCTGAGTTATAAATGTTAATCTGCAGAGTAGAGTACTATACAAAGGACAATGAAGATGAGCTGCCAGGAAGAAGAGGAGAGAAGAAGAAGTCCATAGAGTAGATTCATGGATGTAGCGAAGGAGCACATGCAGAGGGTTGGTGCGAGAGAGAACAAAGCTAAGGGGACAAAGTGAGATAGATGCAACAAGTCCTTTGTGGTGACCACTAAATGGAGTCTGAAGAAGAAAAAGAAGTACAGGAGTAGGGTAGTAGTGCCAAGTAGCTGACTAAAAATTTAGTCTGGGTTGAAATAACAATATGATGACAAAATACGGTTACCTCTGTATCCTCCTCCACCTCCTCCAGCTGTGCACGCACCGCCTCCTCCTCCAAACCCTCCGAAGGTCGACCAGCTGAGCTTAGACAGCGCCAGGGGGCATGAAGATCCCCCCTCGGCACCTTCCACCAGGGATCTGCCAGCCATCAGGTGAGAACTTGAACTATCTTTCCAGCCGCCACCTCCACCTTTAAGGGAAACAAAACAAAGTCATTCACTGTTACAAGAGCTACTTTGGGAGCATTGCACAAGGTTGTAAAACA